GCCACAGGCCTTCCGCGATGGCTGGCTATATGTGTACGCCTTGAGTGCAGCACGCGCCAGCCCGCACGCGGTGGAGGTCGCCTGTGGCTGCCGAGGGGTGATCCACGCCCGCGCCGCTCTGACAGCTCGGAAGGACACTGGGAGCTCTGGAGATGACGAGAAGAGTGGGGAAGCAAGGAAGCTCTCATGCACTTCCTGCGAACCGCTCTGGTGGGGGGGCAGGCGCCTTGACGAACTCCCAGGCCTCTTTTTGAATACGAGCCCATAGGAAGGAGGAAGCTGCCACCATGCCGCGAGGCACTGAGTGGAGTGTTCTCAGGTCCCTCCTTTTCATATTTACAAGTTTCTGAAAATAAAGTGTCCCCAACCCCCAATTCATGGATATCTTGGGGGGGTCCGCGTGACCTTTGCGAAACCTTGGGAGCGTGATTCGGAACCCAAGCTTCCAACCTGGCCCAATATGGCCCCAATGGCCTCTTGGGCGTCTCTCGGGCCATAAATGGAGGCCCTGAGGGCCAGCCCGCGACCGCCCAACCAGCTCCCAATGCAGCTCCAAGGCGCAAGCATGATGTGCTCCAAAGCGGGCCCTGAAGCCCAAGGCGACACAACAAACCTCCCAAACGTTCCCAAGAGGGGCCGAAGAGAAGGGCCCCGAAGTGACATTCGAACAATTCTGCGGCAATGTCGGGGCAGTCCGGCGCTGGGCCGGCGCCAGCTTGCCGCCAACTGGCCGGGAACACGAGCGGCAGCAATAGGCGGCGCGGACACGCGCAGCACGCCGGCAAGGCTTCGGTAGCCGAGGACATGAGAGAAGCTTGTGCCGATCGCCGCCCGTTCCCTGGCGGGGGGATGATGACCTGGGTGACCCCTGCGCGGTCGCGTCGGCGACGCCTGTGCACTGGTCGCAGGGGGTCGCAAGGCGGCCAGACGGGGCCTGGGTCGCGGGCAGTAGCTTGACGCCCAAACTCCATGCAATGGTATGTCCGCCCTCGCAGGAAACGCTATCCACTCCAGGCCCCGCCGCAAGGCGATCGCCGCGCTCTTGCGTCGCGTGCTGTCGAGGCTCATTGTGGCCTGGAGGTCCGGCCCACACACCCTGGCCAGATCTGCGAGAATATATGATGCAATTTTGTCTCGGCGCTTACAAGCGGTTGGGAAACAAACCGTGCGATCGCACGGGGCTGATTAAACGCCGACGCCATTCGCGCAAAGAGAGGGGCGCGGGAGTTGAAAGCTCTTGTCTTGCCATGCTGATCACCGACAGTCTTGAACTCGGCAAACTGGTTTTTTCGATGGAATGCGAAATGCCGCCAGGGTCAAGTGTCGCGGACAGCTTACCATTCCAGAGCTTTGTTCGTGATGTCTGTTTGATGTGGACAGCTGCTGAGGCACGTGCTGAGTCTCCGGATCCCAGTTGTAAGACCAAGCTTGCACGCCTTTTGCAACTCTGGGCCATCGACGCCTCGTCGAGTGGCAAGCCTGCGGATGCAGGCAAATCGCTTCCGAATGGTAAGGTGTTCGGTGCTGGCGAGGTCTCTGCTGGCTAGTCACCCTGCTCCCCGTTGCGCGTCGCAAGCCTCGCCCATGGGTCGGCGCGCTGCCTGACCGTCTCGCCCCTCATCTGGCGCATCATTTCCTGGGTACAGTCGGGGCGTTGACCTAAGGAACCCTAAATAAGGAACGAGGCCCCTTTTTCCATAAGTTAACCTTCGATTTCCGGTCGAAAACATCAGGAAAGCCCGAGGCCAGCTGCGAAACAGTTACGGAACGCGGAGCCCCTCCCCAACGAAAAGGGTTCCTTCTTCAGGGCCCCGACGGTATTCGTTATCGAGTCGGACGCCGTCGCGCGTCTGTATGGGAACTGGGCGTTGACGATGCCGGGCGCCCTGCAGGCGGGCCAGGCAGGCTCCGATGGGTCGTCGCCCCGCGTCTCCTCGACGTGCTCCCGGGGCGCACATCGGAGCATCGCGCGCGGAACGTGCAGCTGCCCTCCAGGCGGACCATCGGGTCGTCCTGGTGGAAGAGTTGTGCACGCAGTTCTGCCACGTGTTTCCTGCTCCTAGCCCTGCACGGTTTTCCCCGGGGCCGTAGGCGACCCGAGGAGGAGGAGGAGGAGGAGGAGGAGGAGGAGGAGGAGGAGGAGGAGGAGGAGGAGAGGAGGAGGAGGTGGAGGAGGAGGAGGAGGAGGAGCAGGAGGACGACGGATGAGGAGGAAGAGGAGGACTCGCTTCCGTCGACATGGGTGACCGTCACCATGCGTGGGCGACGGCAGACTCTATTGGTCCAATAACCTTTCGTCGTCCTTCGAACTGGGGCGGGCCTCCCTGCTCCTGTGCCTTGCCCTTGCCCTGTCCCCTCAACCTCTGGAGCTCCAACCGCTTCAATGACCGTGGCGACCTCTGGTGCAAGATTCTGGGGCTCTGGGATTCTAGGCTGCTCTCGCGCGCAAGCCCGCGAAGGGTCGCGAGGCTCGGACAAAAAAAAACCGACGACGACGAAGTCGAATGACGACGGCGAGGACGATGAACGGCACGACCATGACGGACGAACGAAAGCAGCAGCGCGAGGGACGACAGCGGCGGCGGCGGCGTCAACCGCACCAGCAAGGGAGCGGGAGCAGCGGGGCGCGTGTAGCGCGCCGCACCTGGCTTGGCACTGAGCGCTGGCAAAGGGGTCTTGCCCAGCCTGTGGAATTTTGGGACATCAAGGATCTGAACCACTCACAGGGACTGGACAAACAACACGGGATGTGAGACTACCGATGTTATTTTCGATGTCCTTCTCCTCCTCCCCCCTCGCCTCCTCGCAGTCTTGTGTTTCGTGTGTGCCGTCTCACTGTTCGACCGCGCGGTTGGCGGTGGAGCGTGTCTCACCATTTCCTGGACATGCAGTATTTTCTTTTTGTCTTTTTTTTTCTTGTGTTCTCTCTCTCTCTCTCTCTCTCTCTCTCTCTCTTAAGAGGCTGAGACCCTTCTGGTTCAGGAAGGTTGGAGGCAACGCGGGAGAACGAGGGATAGTATATTCAACATGTTTCATGAGTCTTGGGTTTGCACTGGTCATCTTCTTCTTCCTCCGCCTCCTTCTCCTCCTCCTCCTCCTCCTCCCTCGTCTTCCTCCTCCTCCTCTTTCTCCTTCTCCTCCTCCTCATCTCCCACCCATTTCCTCCGCCTCCTCCTGCTCCTCCTCCTCCCCTCGGTCTCGTCGCCGTCATACCTGTCGTCCTTCGCGTGGAGGTCCCCGTCCCCACGTCGTCCTTGCTACTTCCCTTCCTGCAGGCCCCTGGGGACGCGGCGAGGCTGGCCGGCAAGCGCGCTCGAACACTCCTCGCACGGGCCGGCTGGTTCGGGCTCTCAAACTCGATGCCCGCGGATCCGATTGGGGTGCGGTTCGGAAACTGAAGCAAGAAACGTGAATAGGGGAACGAAGATATGAAACCTCGGAGGTCCGCGCGGATTTCTCGGATCGGCGCTGGACCCCTTCCCTGGAGCGCGGAGCGCGCCAGGGGCGGCGCCGGAGGCGCCGCCAAGGGGGTTCAAGCGCCGATCCGAGAAACCTGCGCGGATCTCCGAGTTCCTGTGTTTATGTCATTGTTCGTTTCCCTAGAAACACGAAGGCGAACGAAAACACAATGCACCACCGAACCCAGGATCTTGCGGGGCGTCGTGGCCAGCAGGCTGGCAAGCAGGGGAGCGGCCATCGCCGTCCCTCTCGCCCGCATGACCCAGGTTCGCGCCAAGACCTGGCTGACCCCTCCCAAGAGCGCTCCTGGGCCGATGCCCCCTCAGCAGGAGTGCGTCTGCCGCAAGCCATCGGGAATGCAGTCACCCCCTGCTTGCAAGCGGCATCCGCATCTTTGCGCCACGCCACGGCAGAGTCAAGCAACCTCGCGCCCCCCCTCCCAGGAATCAGGGTTCGGGCCCCCCTCCTCGCAGGGGTCCCCTTTCTGTTGAACTGCTCGAGAGACGCCCCTCAGGCCACGCACGCAGCCCCAGCCCAAGCGGCCTCCTTGAGCCCGCTGATCTCCTCCTCTCGCCTCGGTGACGGGGGGGCCGCTTCTGACTCAGGCGTCCGCGACGGCCTCGCCCCGCTCCTCTGCCGGGCAGGCTGCCCCAGGGCGCCCTCCGAGCGAGGGAATGGCTCGCTCCCCCCTCAAAGGGTTTTTGTTGCTGGGCAACCGGGGCGGAACGAGGGTGGGGGGGGGATGGACCTGTTTTCCACCACCACCATCACCACCACTACTATCAGTTGGAGGGGGGAAGGGGGTGGAGGACGAGGTGGAGGAGGAGGAGGAGGAGAAGGAGGAGAAGGTGGAGGAGGAGGAGGAGGAGGAGGAGGAGGAGAAGGTGGAGGAGAAGGTGGGAGGTGGAGGTGGAGAGAGGAGCGAGGCGGAGGAGGAGGGGAGGAGGAGGAGGAGGAGGTGGAGGTGGAGGAGGGAGGAGGAGGAGAGGAGGATGAGGAGGAGGAGGAGAAGGAGGAGGAGGAGGAGGAGGAGGATGCAGGAGAGGAGGAGGAGGAGGGACCCCCTTCTCCCTCCAGCTTATGGTGGTGGTGGTGGAAAACAGGCCCATCAGGGGGGGGGGGGGGGATGCGCTCCGCAGGGTGCCCGCGGGGCGAGGCCGTCGCAGACGGCCTGCCTCGCAGGAGCCGCCCTCCTCCCGCCTCCGCTTGGACTCGGCGTAGGGCTCGGCCTTTGCGACGCACATCTCCTGGGCCCGCGGGGGGGGGGGCGCACGGAGCCTGCGCTCGCGGCCGGCACGGCCCGCCCGGTGGCACCATCGGGGGCGCCGCCGGGGGGGTGGCACAGGAGGAGGGAGCTTACAGTGGGGGCCCGACCACAGGAAGCCTTCCACAAGAAGCCCAGCCCCGAGACCCCAGGGCGTCCATGGACTTTCGGTGTGGGAGCGTCACGCGTTCCATCGCAGAACCATCGAGACCCAAGAGACCCAGGGCACCCTGGAGGCGACCAGGGTGTTTCTTGGCATGGGTCCCCACTGTAGCAC